CTATTTTCTGACATTTTATTGACTAAAAGATTTATTAGTTGCAGCCCTATTTGAGATGGATTGTCAATAAAAAATAAAGCTGTAATGATTAATTGATCAGCTGTCCACTGTTAAATGACTCGCCAACTATTTTAATAATCGATTAATCATTTTGAGTTTAAACAATCTGATTTTAGCTTCTCAATTTTGAATATTTTCTGTTTTCTTTTAAATTAATCACCCACTTTTTTGATAATGCTTTAACAGTTTTGAGTCAGTTTTTAAGAAAGAATTCTCAGATTTCCGCTTTTCAAATGTGACTATTTTTAGATTTCTTTCTTTCTTTGAAAGGAAACTGGATATCTTTGGGTTGTGGACAAAACAAGACATTTGAGGACATCACCTAGGGCTTTGGGAAAAAGTGATCAACATTTTTTAAACCATTTTCTGACATCATATATAATCGATTTATTTAGAAAATAATGGACATATTAGCCGATAATGAAAATAATCATTTGTTGCAGCCCAAATAAAAAAACACAATTCTTTGTAAATTCCCCCAAATATGGTTTTGTGATTGACAGCATTAGAGAAGTTGAGTGGGGATAATTTGCTTATAAATAAAGTATGAGTGTACAGTGATTAATTTAGTGTAATTATGTACATTGTTGGAGATTTGGAGCATTTTAGTTTCATTTCCTTTAATAGGATCCACTCATAACCACATTTCCATAAGTGTAATTAACTGGTATGCAGTTGATGATTTTTATTTTGGTAATTGCAACTTGATTACCTGCAGTAACTTTGTCACACAGTATGTGTCAGAGCAGGATGTCGGTGTCTGAGATCACAGACTGCGGGTAATAGGCACATCATTGTTCACATGTAAAGGTAGCCGATGTTTGACCACGTTTTCTGATCCTGTTGGCGTGGGATTGTGCAAGCCACCTTCTGAAGAGCGCGTTACCCCTACTGAGGGCAAGAGCTTTTAAGGTGCCTTCTACAGGGACCCCGACATGCACACACAAACATACACAGCCAGATCAGCCAAGCGTAGGCATTACTTACTTATTCACCCTCTGTCTCCATCTGTGCCTTTTGTATCGCTGTATCTTTTTCTCTCAGGGCTGTCTTTTGCCTCTGTTCAGTTGAAACAATAATTTACTCTTTTGAAGAAATAAAAGTATACTTTTACATAGACAAGGAATACTTGTATGATAATTAAAACGTGAAATATGACAACTGATTAAACTGGTCGTGGTGTACGCTCCTCCGTTTCTCTCTCGCTCTTTCTCTCTGTGTGTCTCGCTCCATGTGACTCTCTCCTGCTGTTTCAATCTCCTAGTAAATCATAATGAACCTCTATCTGTCTCAGTATGTCTCGGACACACTGGCGCCCCACACAACCTAGCAGCCTTTGAGGTTTGTGTGTGTGTGTGT